AGCTTTGATCCAAAATATGAAAACTGGGAACAAATACATAAATTGTTTCCAGGTTGATTTCTTTTAATGACTGATTTAGAAGCAGATGTTGTTTAGATTTTCTCATGAAATCGTAGAAGAACAAAGATACTCTCAAAAGTCTAACTTGAAATAGTGATTCATACATTAGTGAACAGCAAAGTATCTTCGTACAAAACACGAGCAATGCCTTTGCGATCATAGTCAGCTTTGGCCCAAAATATGAAAACTACGAACAAATACTAAAATTTCACTCATCTAACATGATATTATCAATATACTTAAATTATTGAGATAGTAAGGGCCATGTTGTAATCATCAAGTAAGACTAAATTCAATAATGGAAGTGAATTTCTGGCGCCATAGAAAATGGCATTAGGGGGATAGAACACATGCTCTGAGTGTTGAAAAGCTTAAACAAACTCTTTTCCTAGTTGTCTGAAAACATCAAAGACTCGTTACTTTTTTATGTCAAGAACCTGTGTTAGCAATGCCGGTAAACCATGTACGTTCTCATAAGCATGTAAAAATTGAGCTTTGTACCACTTTTCATTCTCTACGGAATGATCAATAAGAAATTCATCCAGGTTTGTGATTTTTCAATCAAACGTTCAAGCAAATAGCCAGTTAATCTCTACTTTCGTCAGTTGTGTCATGGTTTCAAGTTTATAACACGACACAACTAACGCATCATCTCTTGTTTTCCTTAAACTTCCATTAATTCTGATAATCTTTTAGCACTTACATGCATTATAGTTTCGCTTAACAGACTTATTCAGTTATGGTTATATAATGATGCTTACAATAATATTTGTAACGATTAAATCCTTTTATTTTTCATCAGTCATTAAAAGAAATCAACATGGAAACAGATGTTGCTGTAGACTTTATCATGAAATCTTTTCTGATTCCTTTTAGGAGAAATTCTATAAGTTGCTTATTATAAAAAATTTTGCACAAGAGAAAAGAAACAGAAACGATTTCATGAGAAAATCTAAACAACATCTGCTTCTAAATCAGTCATTAAAAGAAATCAACCTGGAAACAATTTATGTATTTGTTCCCAGTTTTCATATTTTGGATCAAAGCTGGCTATGATCGCAAACGTATGTGTAAAGGCATTCCATGTGTTTTGTACAAAGATACTCTCAAAAGCCAAACTTGAAATGGTGATTCATATATCAGTGAACAGCAAAGTATCTTGGTACAAAACACATGGAATGCCTTTACACATACGTTGGCGATCATAGTCAGCTTTGGCCCAAAATTAGGCCTGTAACAGTTCCAGTTTAGTTCTAAGAACTGTAACTGTGAGATACAGGTTAGTACGAAGAACTAACCTCATGGTTTCACCCCAACTGAATGTACATCGTAAACGTGTCTTAATTCATTCATTGCATGAAGCTAAGTTAACCCCAGATCTTGATTTATTGGATGCTGATCTAACACAAATGCCGTTGGGTGACTATGAAACATCAGGTATCGTTCGTGATTATTCATTAATTAATCTGCAAGATATCGATTTATTTAATTCATCATTGAATTATCTTATATTGACAGGCGCAAATTTTGCTCGAGCTAAAATGGTCTTAACTGATTAAAGCATTGTTGAACAGGCTCTTTGGTAAGAGAATCGTTGACGTTCGGTGAAGTTTCGTTTGAACAAGTTCGATTTCATCATCTATACATTTTAAATGTTAATTTTTCTTGTGCTACTATCAATCACACTGTAATGAATCATCTTCAACTATGTGTAAATTGCCATTTTCACATTCACAATGTATAACGTAACAATTTCGAACTCATTTTTTTACGAACCATTATTTCATCATTCAGATTTGAACGGCTCCTATGTCAGAGATACAAACTGTTCAGATTATTTTATTTCCATCACTATGATTTCAGTTATTATCAATAAATCGTGATTTACCGATAGTATGTTTCATCAATCAACAATAAGGGATTTGCTACTAATTAAGGTGCATTTTACGACCTCAAACTTTGCTCTTTGTCTATTAAAGAATCTCGTATGTTCAAAAGTTCATTAATTAGTTGTACTCTCAATCTTTATGATTTTATACGTGCCAAAATGATTGACGTCAATCATTGACGTTGATTTTAGTTTATCAATATTCAGAGAATCATCATTTATTGAAACAAATTGCAGTAATTGTAAAATGATTGGTGCTAGTTTTGAACAGGGTACACACTTTTCTAAAACTGTATTACATGGTTGTAATTGTACGAATATTTCTCTTTCTACTTCAAGCTTGTTCAATGTCGATCTGAGTGATAGTGATTTGAGTCATTGAAGATTTGAGCGTTGTTTATTAATTAACGGAACATTTGTCAATTCAACATGGTTTAAAGCAATTGTACCCGGCTTTTCATATGCAAACCTTCGTGGCTGTAATTTAACTGAAACATCGATTCATAGTTATGGTGTTGCCGGCTCTATGTCATTGAGACTTAAGTTATTGTGATCTATCACGTATTCATTGTCAAGGTACAACATTAAAATACTAGGATTTAGATCATTGTCGTATGATTGGCACTGAACTAACTGAGAAATCGTTTAAGAATACTAATTTTCATAAATGTTTAATAAAAGAATAAAAGATTCTGTGTTTTTTAATTCAAGATTTTCTCTGTCTAATTTTAGTCAGAGTAATATATCACAATTAGTATTTGATTCTTCTTTGTTTGTTGATGTTGATTTTTCTGGTTGTAAATGTTGCTTTACTAAGAGAAAGGTCCTAATTTTTCTATTGTTTTCGACTGCAAAATCTCATTTGAAATCCCTGCAGCCAAACGGATAGTTCAGTTTTATTTCAGAACATTACAAATGCAGCTAAAATCAAACGATGAATAATTCCCATTCCTGTACTTTCTAAACTAAGACTAAAGAGGATAGTTCCTAATATTTCCATACTTTCTAGAAAACGAATAGCTCACGTAGTTGCTATACTTTTCAACGTATGAATAGATCCTTATATCTCTAAAGTTCGATTCTTACAATATTCCTATCTTTTACTCTTCTTTTAACTGAAACTTACGATATTGTAATCATTTATATTCAACCATTTCAAGATATTTCTCAAGCTTACATACAAAGAATCTACTGAACTGTATTTTCAAGTATTCTAGTATAAGAAGCTTACCTATCGAAACTCGACATAGTTCTTTTAATATTATACAGAAACGTATCTTTGTTATACATTTGATACGAGGCTCCGATTGACTTGCAGATTGCTTAGAGAGGTCTCCCACCGTTTCAGCGTATTAGGGACTATGCCGATTGTGCCTTAATAACGCAAGAGAGCACACCAGCAAAGAACTGGGTTCCTCAAACAAAAGAGATAGTTTGATTGAAACACACATAACGAAAGTTAGAAAATGGTGAATGAGTACAGAATTATGGATGTTCAATACTTTTATTTAGAATACATAATTGTTGAACATCAAAGATTACTAATCGTTTTTATTTTTCGATATATACAAACACAAGATTCGATATTTAGTATTATTGAATAGTGTGGGTTTAATGCAGTTCATAAAACGAAACGTAGATTGTAAAATCGCATGTCCAGCAAATGGTAAAGGTGGTGGTAAGCGTAATCATAGTTGTTTCGAATGGACAAAGCTGGGCTTATCGACACTGGTTCCATTGATGATTGGTATATTTACTGTTGTTAGTTATATTC